AGGAATAAAGTTATCTGTGCGTTACCTTCACAGGAAATGAACTATCAATTTTTTCCTTTCTTTCACTTCTTACATATTCATGAATTATCACAATAAATTGAACTTGATTTTAACTGTACAGTCCTAGAGAAGTTTCAATACTCTGTTGCATATTCAGTTTAAAAAACAAACAAAAAAAAGTTTATTCTGTCAACTTTAGCCGAAGCTATAACAACCGACTGGAATTGGCATGAAGAGATTTTTTATGAAATGTATCAAATGGAAATGTTCACTCTTACAACTCATCGTACTCGTGATTACATATTAATAAATCCAGATTTTCAACACACTAATTATTATAGGTAAGATATCTCTAGGCCGTTCATCATTTACTAACTTTCTGTCAGATGTTAATTTCTTTTAGCTTTCTTGGACGTTACATTGGAATGAATATTTTTCATAAAGTACAAATTGAATTTCAATTTCCAACTTTTTACTACGTGATTGCCTTTGTCCTCAAGCTCGATTTGAATTCAGAATTATTGGATATGATGTATTGTATGAAAGAAAATACTCTATCTAAGAATTTAGACGACTGGACACGACTTTTATCGGTTGACTCAGCTGATAAAGAAAACGATATCGCATGTCAAGAAAATAAAGCAACTTTTGAAACAACACTAAATAAACCGGCAGATTTTGTCAATCAACAAACGCCTCAAGTTGGTGACGACTCCTGCTTGATAGTTAGTGAGGAGAGTGTTGCTCAGAATCTACTTAATGTCACCAGGACGAAGGACTTCGATTCATGTGAAACCGACGAAGACTGGCAAGCTCTCGTCGAATATGTCAAGAAGATAAATTAACTTTTGAACCGACAAATGCTGCAGATCGAAAAGTTTGCTGTACAGCGAGAAGTAGAGAATTTCAAAATTCTGCAAATTAAATGGCGCAATTCGAGAATTTTGCCGAATAGTGAGAAGTTCAGACTTTGACAATTTGACCATTTTAGAATTCTGGAAATTCAATATGTTGCAAATCGACAATTTTCCTGTATGCAAATTACATATGTCTCAAATGGAGAATTCTGCTGTATACTGAGAAGCGCAGACGTTGAGAATTTGAGCATTTTAGAATTCTGGAAATTCAATATGTTGCAAATCAAGAATTCCGCAGTATAATGAGAAGATGAGACTTTGGGAGTTTGCGCATTTTAGAATTCTGCAAATTCAATGTGTTGCATGTCGAGAATTTTGCCTTACAGTGAGAAGTTCAGACGTTGAGAATTTGAGCATTTTAGAATTCTGGAAGTTCAATATGTTGCAAGTCGACAATTTTGCTGTATGTTCGAAATTTGAGTATTTTGAGAATTTTGAGAATTCAATATGTTGCAAATCCAGAATTCTGCTGTATGGTGAGAGGTTCAGACTTTGGGAAATTGGCTATTTTAGAATTCTGCAAATTCAATATGTTGCAAATCAAGAATTCCGCAGTATAATGAGAAGATGAGACTTTGAGCATTTGAGCATTTTAGAATTCTGGAATTTAATATGTTGCTCGAATTTAATGGATTTTGCCGTATATTGGAAATTTGAGAATTCGAGAATTTTGAGAATTCAATATGTTGCAAATCGACAATTTGGCTGGATATTGGGGAGTTGGGATTTTGAGAACTTGAGAATTTTGCAAATTCCACATGTCGGAAATCGAGGATTCTGCTCTATACTGAGAAGTTGAGACTTTGAGAATTCGAGCATTTTAGAATTCTGCAAATTCAATATGTTGCAAATCAAGAATTTTTCTCTATATTGCGAAGTTGAGAATTTTCCAAATGGAGCAGTTTGCTGTACGCAAACTCCATATGTCGCAAATCGAGCACTACGCTTTATACTCAGAATTTGAGCTTTTGGGAAATTGCGATGTCTGGATATTCAATATGTTGCAAATCGAGAATTTTGCCGTATAGTGGAAATTTGAGAATCTGATAATTCTGGAAGTTCAAACTGTTGCAAATCAAGAATTCTGCTGTATAGTGAGAAGTCACAACTTCCCACTGTACAACACAAATCTCGATTTGCCACATATTGAATTTGCGGAATTATGAAAATCCACAAATTCTCAAAATCTCAACTTCTCACTATACAGTAGAATTCTTGATTTGCAACATATTGAATTCTCAAAATTCCTAAATCCTGAAACTTGTTAACTTCTCAATACACGGCAAAATTCTCGATTTGCAACATATTGAACTTGAAGAAATCTCAAATTCCCAAATTTCCACAATACAGCAGAATTCTGCAACATACTGAATCTGCAGAAATCTTTAAGGCTCCGAATCTTAACTTCTCAATATACAGCAAAATTCTCGACTTGCAACATATTGAATTTGCAGACTTATCAAAATTCACAAATTCTCAAAATCTCACCTTCCCACTATACAGCGGAATTCTCGATTTGCGACATATTGAATTTGCAGAAATCTCAAAGGCTCAGAACTCAACTGAACTCCTCCATATACAGCAATCTGAAACATTTTGAATTTGCAGAATGCTCAGATTCTCAAATTCTCAAATGCTCACAACGCAAGAGAATTCCCGATCTGCCGCATGTCGAACTCGATTTGCGCCATTCAGTTTCCTCTACTTCCCACTATACAGCAAAATTCTCGAATCGCGCCGCGCCATATTCTAAAATGCTCAAATTCTCAAAAAATCCAAACTTCTCAATATACAGCAAAATTCTCAATTTACACTATTTTGAGTTTCCAGGATTCTCCAATTGTGAATACATAGCAAAATTCCTAATTTACAACACATTGAATTTGCTGAATTCTAAAACGGTCAAAGTCTCAACGTCTGAACTTCTCACTATACAGCAGAATTCTCGATTTTCGACATATTGAATTTTCAGAAATCTCAAAGGCTCGAAAAGTCAGCTTCTCAATATACAGCAAAACTGTGGATTTGCTACATACTCAATTCCCAAAATTCTCAAATTCTCAAATGTCGAATACACAGTAGAATTCTCGACTTGCAACATATTGAATTTCCCGAATTCTAAAATGCTCAAATTCTCACCCTCTGAACTTCTCACTATACAGCAAAATTCCCGATCTACAACATTTTCAACTTTCAGAAGTCAAACATTCTCAACTCCGCAATAGACAGCAAAATTCTCGATTTGCAACATACTGCATTTGCAGCAATCTCAAAGGCTCAAAATCTAAACTTCTCGATATACAGCGAAATTGATTGATTTGCAACATATTGAATTCCCAAAATTATCAAATTATCAAACTTCCAATATACACCAGAACTGATTTGCAACATTCAATCTGCACCATTTTGAATTTCCAGAATTCTAAATGCTCAAATTCTCAAAAAATCCAAACTTCTCAATATACAGCAAAATTCTCAATTTACACTATTTTGAGTTTCCAGGATTCTCCAATTGTCAATACATAGCTTGCTTCACAACATATTGAATTTGCTGAATTCTAAAACGGTCAAAGTCTCGAAGTCTAAACTTTCCACTATACAACAGAATTCTCGATTTGCGATATATTGAATCTGCAGAATTCTCAAAGTCTCAACTTCTCAGTATACTGCAGAATTCCCGATTTTCGACATACTAAATTTGCAAAATTCTCAAAATCTCAACTGCCCAATATACAGCAAAATTCTCGGTTTGCAACATTTTCAACTTGCAGAATTATCAAAATTCTCAAACTCTCAAAATGTCATCTTCTCACTATAAAGCACAATTCTTGATTTGCAACATATTGAATTTCCAGAATTCCAAAATGGCCAAATTGCCAAAGTCCGAACTTCTCACTGTACAGCAGAAGTCTTGATTTGCAACATTTTCAACTTGAAGAATTCTCAAATTGTCAAATTTCCACTATACAGCAGAATTCTCGATTTCCGACATATTGAATTTTCAGAAATCTGAAAGGCACGGAATCTCAACTTCTCAATATACGGGGAAATTGTGGATTTGCAACATACTGAATTCTCAAAATTCTCAAAGTCTTAAATGTCCAATATACAGCAAAATTCTCGACCTGCAACATATTGAATTTCCAGAATTCTAAAATGGCCAAATTCCCAAACTCTGAACTTTTCGCTATACAAGAGAATTCTTGATTTGCAAGAGTTTCAACTTGAAGAATTTTCAAAATCTCAAATTTCCACTATAGAGCAGAATTCTCGATTTGCGACATATTCAATCTGCAGAAATCTCAAAGGCTCAAAATCTCAAATTTCCAATATACAGGAAAATTCTCGATTTGAAACATTTTGAATTTTCGCAATACTCAGATTCTCAAATTTTCAAATGCTCAGTATGCATCAGAATTCTCGATTTGCCAGATGTAGAACTTGTAGAATTCTCAAATTGTAGAACTTCTCAATACAAAGCAAAATTATCGATTTGCGTTATGTAGTTTCCAGAATTCTCGAATTCTCTACATCTCACTATGCAGCAATATACTCGAACTTCGCCATTTAATTTGAAGAATTCTGAAATTCTCTACTTCTCACTATACAGCAAACTTTTCGATCTGCACCATTTTGAATTTGCGGAATTCTAAAAGGCTCAAATTCTCGAAAAATCCAAGCTTCTCAATATACAGCAAAAATCTCAGTTTACACCATTTTGAATTTCCAGGATTCTCAAATTGTCAAATGCTCAAATTCTGAATATATGGCAAAATTCTTGATTTACAACATATTGAATTCTCAAAGTTCTCAAATTCTCAAACTTCTTAACTTCCCAATACACGACAAAATTCTCGATTTTCAACATACTGAATTTGCAGAATTCTAAAATAGTCAAATTCTCAAAGTGTGAACTTCTCACTATATAGCAAAATTCTCGATTTGCAACTTATTGAACTTCCGGAATTCTAAAATGCTCAAACTCTCAATGTATGAACTTCTCACTATACGGCGAAATTCCCGATCTCCAACACTTTCAACCTGCAGAAGCCAAAAATTCTCAACTCCCCAATATACAGCAGAATTCTCTATTTGCGACATGTTGAAATTCCAGAAATCTCAAAGGCTCAAAATCTCAAATTTCCAATATATAGCAAAATTCTCGACTTGCAATGTATTGAATTTCCGGAATTCTAAAATGCTTAAATTCTCGAAAAATCCAAACCTCTCCATACACAGCAAAATTCGCAACTTACATTAGTTTGAATTTCGAGGATTCTCAAATTGTCAAAGGCTCAAAGTCTGACCTCTCACTATACAGCAGAATTCTTGATTTGCACCATTTTCAGCTTACAGGAGTCAAAAATTCTCAACTCCCCAGTATACAGCAAAATTCTCGATTTGCAACATATTCAATTTGCAGAATTATCAAAATTCTCAAATTCTCACTCACAAAGGCTCAAAATCTAGAAATCTCAACTTGTCAATATACAGCAGAATTCTCCATTTGCAACATATTGAATTTGCAGAATTCTAAAATAGCCAAATTCCCAAAGTCTGAACCTCTCACCATACAGCAGAATTCTGGATTTGCAACATATTGAATTCTCAAAATTCTCAAAATACTCAAACTTCGAACATACAGCAAAATTGTCGACTTGCAACATATTGAATTTCCAGAATTCTAAAATACTCAAATTCTCGAAGTCTGTTCTTCTCACTACACAGCAAAATTCTCGATTTGCAACATTTTCAACTTGCAGAATTATCAAATTCTCAAATTTCTACTATACAGCAGAATTCACGGTTATCGACATATTGAATTTGCAGAAATCTTGACGGCTCAAAATCTCAACTTCTCAATTTACAGCAAAATTCTCGGCTTCCAACATATTGAATTTCCAGAATTCTAAAATGGCCAAATTCCC